AGCAATTCACGAATGTGGAAGTGGTAAGAGGGGTGGAGGATAGACCTAATTGGATCGTAGGCTTGGAATACGTCTAGAAGCATTTGATGGATCGGGCCTGCCTTAGTTGCCACATAACTGAGATATCTAGGACAAGCGTGATTGGTCAAGTTTTGTGGCTGTAATGCGTTAAAGCCAGAAGGCTCAACTCCAGCAGCTCCAGATGGTTTAGTGCGGCTGGGCGGGCTAGGTTTGTCCGGGTTTGTGTACCTACCTAGGTACTGCCCAGGTGCTAGGTAACCTAGCGAGCTAATCCCCCGTTGGCTTCGGTCCTTGGAGGCTTGGGGTTGCTTGGCCCCTCGTTTAGTGGCCCTCCTGCTCTCTCGCCAATTTATAGACCCTTGGCACAGGTAATAAGAATCGCAACCTATCAAATTTTGCAACTAGCATCTGCCCCAGACCCTTTGCTACGGATCCGCTTTGCTAGATGGAGAAGCTGGCAAGCTTTCCCACTTCCACTCAAGTTCCTCATAGGTGCTCTCCGCCCTTGTGCTATGGCAGTTGGTTGCAAACTAGCCCGTTGCAGACATTCGGTCTCCATACTATCCTACGACGCACTGGATGCACTAACGCCATCTCTCGGTAACACTAGCTGGTTGGCTGGCGGCCGGACCCTTGCAAAATAACGATGGCCATCATGGACAGCACGGTTGGGGAATCAGGAATCTGTATTCGACCTTTGAACAAACCAGTACTAACAATGAAACATCACATGTGATATATGTGCTGCGGCTGTAGTATTCGGGGCAATTGGCCTACAACCTTCTCCTGAATTACCAACACTACAATAACCCTATACGGTACTCCAGCTTACTTATTGGTTAGGTGTTAGAATGAGCCGCCGAGGAAAGACCAGAGGCACGCGACACACTGACAGCTCTCCGGCCTCCAGCCTCCAGCCTGATTACCTACTCGTGTGGGCAAGTAACCTGACAAGGGTCCAAGCCATCCTGGCCATCCCAGCAGCAAGGCCAAGACCCAGTCTCGGTCAATGATATGCAACCGGGCTGACGGGCAAAAGACAAAGATAAGCAGCGCCCCGCCGCCGCAGCGAGATTCTGCTGCCCCATTTGCTGGAGAGCGGGAGACCGCACACTGGTTCTGGAAAGGTTCGAAGTTGCTACTACGTAGTAACCGTACCGTACCGTACAAAGGTTCCGCTCACTATCCATATATGGTGGACCATGACAAGGGTCGGGCTGAAAGGTTACAAGACCTCTCGTTACGTGCAGATTGCTTGATCGAACCTACATAATATATATTAGCTGAGGATCACCTCACCCAAGCCACTGTGCCCCCTCGTTCTTCTCTTCAACAAACCTCGGGTCTCGACACACACAATACACACGAGAACGTTGTTTCTACGTGTCGCCCATTTGTTCGAATTTTAGTATCGAGAATTTCGACAGGCATCATGGACAATTACGGCGTCACCCATAGGTCGTCGTCCTCGACCCCTTCCGGGGACAAGGAAAAAATGACTTACTCCGACATGGATCTCGACAACACCCATGTGCGCGGCATTGAGACTTCGGCCGAAACGTCGCTGCACCGTGGCCTCAAGGCTCGTCACATTACTATGATTGCTATCGGTGGTGCTATCGGAACAGGTCTGATTATCGGTACCGGCAAAGCCCTCGCGCAAGCTGGTCCCGGCTCCATCTTCATATCGTACTCGATCGTCGGTTTTGTCGTCTACCTGGTTATGGCCGCCCTCGGTGAGATGGCGGCTTGGCTTCCCATGTCTGCGGGTTTCACCGGTTACGCGTCTCGATTTTGCGATCCCTCGCTCGGTTTTGCTCTTGGTTGGACGTAAGTTATCCACTTCCCGTCTCTGTGGCGCTCATTTGCGCAACACTCATGTGCGACATACCTCGAGCCGTTCAATGTGGGCTAACCTTTGTAACACAGCTACTGGATGAAGTACATTATTGTTACACCTAATCAGCTCACTGCCGCCGCTTTAGTTATCTCGTTCTGGCTACCTCCCGACCGGGTCAACCCAGGAGTTTGGATTGCTATATTCCTCGTCCTGGTCCTGTCCATCAACTATTTCGGTATTCGATTCTTTGGTGAATTCGAGTTTTGGCTATCCAGTTTCAAGGTCGTTGTCATTGTCGGTGTTATCCTCCTCGCTCTCATCATCGCGACTGGTGGTGCCGATGGAGACGCGAGGGGATTCCGGTACTGGGACTCACCTGGGTATGTGGTTCCTGTCCTACAACGGTATCGTGGAACGTGATACTAACTAGCACAGTGCGTTCCGTCCCTACATTGCGACGGGTTCGTGGGGTCAGTTCCTGGGCTTCTGGTCTACCATGGTCAATGCTACTTTCGCCTACTTGGGTACTGAGTTAGTTGGTGTGACGGTGGGCGAGGCGCAGAACCCCCGCAAGACGATCCCTCGCGCTATCCGACTTACCTTCTACCGTATCGTCTTCTTCTACTGCATTAGTATCCTTCTGATCGGCATGTGCGTGCCGTACGACTCGAAGGAGCTTGCTTTCGCCAACGGTGTGTCCAACAATGCCAACGCCTCGCCGTTCGTCGTCGCCATCAAGCTCGCCCACATCCCGGTCCTCGACCACATCCTTAACGCTTGCATCCTCCTGTTCGTCTTCTCCGCTGCCAACTCTGATCTGTACATCGCCAGCCGTACCCTTTACGGTCTCTCTTCAGACGGCGCAGCCCCGTCCATCTTCCGAAAGACGAACAAAAATGGCGTGCCTCTATACTCCCTTCTCGCATCTGCTGCGTTCGCGCTCCTGGCGTTCCTGAACGTCTCGAACGACTCGAAGGCAGTTTTCAGCTACTTCGTCAACCTAACCACCATCTTCGGCCTCATGACGTGGATCTCCATCCTGGTCACGCACATCTACTTCATAAAGGCTCGGCGCGCGCAAGGCTTATCCAACGACGCGATGCCGTTCGTGGCGCCCCTGGGCATCTACGGCTCGTACGGCGCGCTCGCCATGTGCTGCCTGATCGCGCTCACCAAGAACTACGATGTGTTCGTCGGCAACTGGAGCGAAAAGTACCCGACCTTCATCACGGGCTACCTCGGTATCCCCGTCTACCTCATTCTCATCTTCGGCCACAAGCTCTGGACCAAGAGCAAGGGCGTCCGCGCCCACGAGTGCGACTTCTACACAGGCAAGGACATCATCGACCGCGAGGAGGAGGAGTTCCTCGCCGCCAAGGCGGCCGAGAGGGCGGCCAGACCCGAGAAGGCTGGCTCGATGTTCTACAGGAGATTCGTCTCGTGGCTGTTCTGAGTGGATGCATGCTATGATGCAGACTACTACATTGGTGCGTTGGGAAATCGGGAGCTGGAGCTAGAGGCGTGTATTGTTTGCCGTCGTTGCAAAAAGAAGATACCTATTTTTTTATTTTGTCTGTATATAAGTCCTCCAACTGGCGCTATTCCCCAGTTGTCTATGTGTTATGGTATAATGAATCTACGGGATACAATATACACTGTTCATTTTCATACATATTTTTGGTTTTTGGTTTGTGGATGGGTCTGGGTGATATGCTACGCTACGCCACTCGACGATTCAAATATCGTCTAGAATGTGGGACGGACAGAAACCTCGAGATTTTCCACGTACGATTCAGGGGGGTGGGTCGATGCGGGTGGCAACATATTCTCGACATAACACGGTAGCACGACATCGTGGGTATGCGGGTATCGCAAGCAAACTTTTTGAGGTATATACACAGGTACAGCACGAAGAGCGCATCGAGCGCCTATAGAGCGTTACGCAAGAATGCGGCACGGCGCTTGGTGTTTGCTTGATTACGTTACCTGTACTCTCTCGACGATCTGTATACTCAATATCGTAACGTCATGGGTCACAGACATAAAAGAGGAAAAAAAAGATATCGTGTCATGTTTCCCTTGATTACTACCTGGTAGATGTTTCGCCATCTTTATCGTCCCCCCGTCTTTTATATTTTTAGATCCGCACGTGGGATCTAATTTCGCTTGTGTTTTTTGCGGATCTACACAGTTTCGAAGGATCGGATCGCCCATCGGGATGAATATCCTCTTCCGCATATAGGTAGCATCGAACTTATCTCTGGACGTCCTTATTTAGGTAAGACGTGAGTCTCGATTTTGGAAATGCGTAGGTAGCATCTGACTGGCTTCTTAGCCGCGGTGCCGCGTTAGGTTGTCTATAATTGATCGATCGGTGCTATGATTACGATTCGGTATTTATTCCAACGTCACCCCGAAAGGGTAACTTTCCTCGAGCCTAGAGACCCGGGCGTTACACCCTTCCGCCCTGTATCATCTACCGTGCTTGCGCAGGCAACTAGATCCTTCCGGTAGCCGTATACGTTGCTCTTCGGTAGCTTCATTCGGCACGACTCTATTTGTTAAGAGGGACGGGATCTGGCCCGGAGCGGGTGGCGACGTCATGGGCCGCGACATGCGGCATTCCTTATACTAGCAAGGCGTCCCCGGATGCGGTTTAGTCGATCCCCGTATAAGCGTGTGGGCTCTAAGGCTAGGCTCGGTGACCGATAACGCAGCAAGGCACGAGTCTAGCTCGCAAATAATAGGCACTTATTCACGGTCAACTATGTTTCTAGCCTCGCCGCTGATCGATTGCTATCGTACGACGGTGTATTCTTTTTGTCGCCCGGCTGTCTCGCGTGCCTTAATTCAGACACCGAAATATTTACGGGAGGTTAACCACGAAGGAGTCCAGACCATGAGTATAGAAGACGGTGGCGATTTCGAGGTAAAGGTGCCAGAAGAGATGTGAGGAGTAGGGAAGGAAATGACTCCTCATGCCCCCTTATCTCTACCGAGTGAACCAACAAACCCTTGGTTGAAGGACGTGCTAGGAATTGTATACCACGTGAATAGGAGGCAAATCATACCGAAGATAAAAACTTATATATTAACAAGAGGATGATAAAAAACCATTGGAAAAGAAACCAAAATAAAATAGCTTAAGTGGGATTTGAACCCACGACCCTTCCACCTCAACCTCAGAGTGTTGATGATGGAATATGCTACCACTACACTTACTAAGCTCTAGTAGAACCACATCATACTGTGTTTTATGTTTTAGATTATAGAGTTGTCTATATACCACACTCCTCTGGCGGTAAACAAGTGGGCGTATCGTTATGCCTGCCTTCCCTATCAGGCATGTGTAAATATAGCGTAACTCATCGTAGACATAATAATCCATGATTGGTTTTAGAGACTGTTATGGTACGATAACTCCTGAGTCTGCACTGGATTATAACGTCTACACGTACCAGAGGCCATATATAGCATATTCACCAGACACTGAGCACACTCTGGGTGAGGCTATCCATAGACATAGCAAGTTCACCGAAAACTCAACTATGGGGTAGCTAGTGTAGATAGCACGTCCTCCAGCGTCCCAGCAGCGACACTATCCTCCTCCGCTCTGCCTTTTAGTTGTTCCGCAATCCCACGTATGGCACCAGCCGAATGTACAAACCGCTTCCTCATACCCGGGCTCGCATTCGCCAAAAGCGTCGCGGCGAGCTGCAAGGCGTCCGCCTGAAATTCGAGGAGCGCCTCCGCGTCCGCAGCGTCGGGGACGTCGTACGCTGCCACCGCAGTCACGACGCCCATCCAGTCCTCCGGCGTGCGGCCTTCGCTCTCTGCTACAATCTCTAGCACGAAGGCGAGGCGGGACCCGCGGATGAGCTCTGCTGCGTCTAGGGACGTAGAAGCCGAGCTTTTCTCGAGCACCCCGAGGAGGTCCCCGGATAATATCCCCCATCCGTTATACGAGCTGAAGGCCTCGATCCCCCTCTCTGTGCGCAGCGCGCCTTCCAGCGCCGCAAGGATGGGGAGCCTGTAATCCAATCCGTCCGGTTGAGAGCTGCTGCTTTGGTATAGTTCCATGAACATGTCCATCAGCCCCGCGGCCTCTTTCCTCAAAACGTCGCCGTCGTCGTCGCGGACCCAGAGCGCTACGGCGCGGATAGCCGACAGTATAAACGCGTCCGTAGCCGCGCTCTCGTCCTTGGTGTCCCAGGACAGCGTCTTGTGCGAGCCGAACTCGGTGTGCGCGTTCCCCGCGCGCGCCTCCGGATGCAAGCCCTGGGCTCCTGCCACCGACGCGTCCCAGCGGTCCCGCAGGTACTCCATCGTGACGGACAGCGTCTCGGCGATGGACTGGCTTAGCTTGAGGACAAGCTCCGGCGGCATTCGCAACCAGGACTGTGTCGAGCTCGTACTGGACGTAGGGTCGCCCAACTCTTCCATCCAGGCGATGAGCTGCCCGATAAACGCGGTCAGGATGTCGAGCGCGGAGGTCAGCCGCTGCGAGGTCCGCGGGTAGTCCGGGTCGTTGAGCTTTTCTAGGAGAGACGGTAGGGTCGCCCGGAGATCTGCCAGGATGAGGTTGATGAAAAGGTACGAGAATGGCTTTGACGAATCCGTTTCGTCGAGGAACAGCAGCTGGGGCGTGGACTCTGGATATACAAGCAGCAGGGCGCACGCGCAGTTGGTGTACGCGGAACGGCTTGCCGCGTTGGGGCGGTTCGTCGACAGATTCCGCATGAGCTTCGCGACGGAGCCGATCCATTTGGGATTTCGCGGTATGAGCTAGTTGGTTATGAGACGGAGTTCATTATAAACTGCCGGACGCGGAGAAACTTACACGCTCGTCTAGATTCCGTAGCACGTGGGATATGAATTCCAGGAGGCTTGTCGCGTCGGTGCCGATGAAGGAGGAGACAAACGCTTGAATCGCCCTGTCGATTTTAGCCCTCACCACCTCCCTCGACTGGTCGTCTTCGAGGCTTGCCGTGCCCCTTTCCCAGGTCCATATGAATACCGTTAGAATGTGCGAGTGCTCTGGGGCAATCTCTATCAACGGAGTCCAGTCATCGACGTCAAGGTTGACGAAGGCCTCGGCACCCCCGGGTACGGTAACTAGATTTAACAATGTCTCTATGATGACCCGAGTCGTCTCTTTGGAGCTTGTCTTAAGTTAGTAAGTATATTCATATCGTAGACGGGTAAAGATGGTAACTTACCTGTGGAGGACGGCGTTGGCTAGTCTCGGTATTCTACCAATGAGTTTTGTATCCTGCTTCGCCTCCTCGGGCAACAGGACTGCAAAAGTGTGAATGACGGCAACTGCTAAGTCAAGCATGTCCTTGGAGTCCTTCGGATCCGAACCAGATTGGGCGCCAGTTCGTAGTAGTCGATCCAGAAACTTGGGTGATATGGAATTCCATAATGAAACGATGACCTCTTTCTCATCTTGCAGCTCTGGCGAGTTATCCAAGACTGATTTCAAGAGAGCTAACCCAACAAATCGGGAGGTGTCATCTTTGGCCTTGAGAAGTTGTTGAATCTTCTCTATAGATGAAGCTTGGCTGGCCCCTGGTTTATTTTCGTTTTTATTTTCGTTGTCATCTCGTACTTGTAACTTTGAGACATCTGGGATGTTCATGGCTTTTGTTTCTCTCACTTATATGAGAAGAGAGCTTCAAGTTGAGGGCATCACCCCCTTGCAGACTAGTAGTCACTGGATATTCAACCCAATCTTAAGTATGAGATTCTTTTTTCTCTAGCTTGAGAATCGGATCGAACAGAACAATTATGCCTATTTCGTTAAATAAAAGTAGTTAATGTTGTGTGTTTTTTTGTGATAAGTTAGATTTCTTCCTCATTCTATAATACAGTTCAATGTGGGGAGTGTAACGCCACCAAACCTGCCTGGTCACAGCTATAAAAGCCGGTAACAACTCCGTAACAGCCCACTGTCCTTATCGTCTTATCGTTATCGGATGGAAGTATGCTGCAGCCTACAGCATGCAGGCAGCTAATAATAGGTACAGCTCCAGCGATAATGACCCCTACCAGCCTCGCCGATCGCAAAGCCGCAACGCAATGCGCAAGCTATGAAACCTGCTCCATCTATCTCCATTACCACGAAACAGCTCCAATAGCGTAGCATAGTCATTGCGACATGGCAGATCGCATCATCGCGCCTTCGAGATGGCAAGCAGCAGGAATTTCATGAACATCAACGAGGGGGAAGGCTCGTCTTCCTCCTCGCGGTCGAACGACCCGCCGCGCCCAACCGTCCAGGACGAGAGAGACGAGCTCGATAACCTATTCGACAGTAACGACGGCGATGTCCTGAGCGACGATCCGTTAAACGAGGAGTTGGCCGAGCCTATGAGTTTCAAGAGGAAGCAGAAGCAGTCCGTCTTCTCGCAGCCAGGCCGCTTGTTGTCTACGTTGACGGGTAATCGCTTGGGGTCGGCCTCGTCGCATTCCGGGACGCCGACGCCGACAAGGTTGCAAGGCTTGAATACGGAACGCACTGAGAGCACGCCAAATACGCCGAATGCCCCCAAAGAGGGAACACCGCTCGATTGGTATGTCGAGGGCCCGGGGCGGAGAGTAGGATACGAGGATCTGACGGCCATCGATTGGATCTTCGAGTACACGAAAGAGCGACAACGTTTACGGGTGTTATACTCGAGCGCCACGGGTATTGTAGGATACATACAACAGTTATTGGACTCTAGCCAGACCTGGGTCGTCCTCGTCCTGACGGGAATCGCTGTGGGTGCGCTGGCAGCTGTCATAGATGTTGCCTCGGATTGGCTAGGAGACATCAAAACGGGATACTGCGCTTCGGGACCTGAAGGGGGCGCGTTCTATCTGAACAAGCAGTTCTGCTGTTTCGGCTACGACCAGGGCGATAAATGTCTGGGATGGAAACCGTGGGCTGCGGCGCTGGGGATAGCGTCTGCTGGCGGGAAATGGTTCATAGAGTACTTCTTCTTCCTGTTGCTCTCAGTGGGTTCTCCTGCAACTATTCCGTCCGTGCACAAGTAGCTGACCGATCTGTAGGTCACGTTCGCTCTCTGTGCCGGGTTCCTGGTTAAGGAGTATGCGATTTATGCCAAACATAGCGGTATACCCGAGATAAAGACGGTGCTGGGAGGCTTCGTCATCCGGCGTTTCTTAGGAGCTTGGACATTGGTCACGAAATCTTTAGGTTTGGTACGTTCGATCTGATCTGTTCATCATGTAAGGGTTTTACTAATGGAGAGAAGTGTCTCGCTGTTGCATCGGGCATGTGGTTAGGAAAGGAAGGCCCCTTGGTCCACGTCGCCTGCTGTTGCGCGAATGTCTTCATCAAGCTATTTCCAAATATCAACACTAATGAAGGTGCGTGCTACGTATGGACACTGGATACACAATACAGGTGCTAACTAAGAGTAGCACGGAAACGAGAAGTCTTATCTGCTGCGGCAGCATCAGGAATTTCCGTAGCATTCGGATCCCCCATCGGAGGTGTGCTGTTCAGTCTTGAACAGCTCTCATACTATTTTCCCGACAAGACCATGTGGCAGAGCTTCGTTTGTGCCATGACAGCAGCCGTCGTGTTGCAGGCCTTCGACCCGTTCCGATCTGGCAAGCTCGTGCTGTACCAGGTCAAGTTTAGCACCGGGTGGCATGGCTTCGAAGTTATCCCCTTCGCCTTCTTAGGCATATTAGGTGGTATCTACGGTGGACTCTTCATCAAGGCGAACATGCGCGTGGCGCAATGGAAGAAGTCGGCGTCGTGGCTCCCGGGACCCCTGACGCAAGTCATCTTAGTGGCTCTTCTCACAGCCCTCATCAACTATCCTAATTTCTACATGCGAGCACAGTCTTCGGAGCTAGTGTCTTCGCTTTTCTCCGACTGCGCATTGGTGCTCGATGACCAATTCGGTCTCTGCAGGAAAGGTGCGGCGACGGCCGGCACCATCGTCTTACTACTATTCGCGGCCATCCTTGGCTTCTTCCTCGCGTCCATCACCTTTGGCCTGCAGATCCCAGCAGGCATCATCTTGCCCTCCATGGCCATCGGCGCGCTGTCCGGCCGCGCGGTCGGCATCATCATGGAGATATGGCAGCACAACCACCCCGACTTCTTCGCCTTCAGCACGTGCGACCCCGAGCGGACGTGCGTGACGCCGGGCGTGTACGCGATGATCGGGGCGGCGGCAACGCTCGCGGGCGTGACGCGCATGACG